AGAGAGGCCGGCTTCCCGCGCCAGCCGTCGTCGCGTCAGCCCGCACCGCGGGTGCTCGCGCGGGGGGCTGGGCCCCGATGGGTACAGGTAGGACACGCTGTCCCAGAACATGTAGAAGACAGGGCGCGCCGCGCCAGCCGTCGCCGCGTCAGTCCGCACCGCAGGTGCTCACAGGGGGGGCGACCCCCGATGGGCAGGCGGGACGCGCGGTCCCAGATCACGAAAGGACAGGAAAGGGGGGGGGAGGAAACGGAATAGACGGAGACCAGGTGGACCGGCAAGCAGTCGTAGCCCGCGGGGCGCGCACGCCGCAAGGGCAGCGGGGCACAGGCGGGGGGGAAAGGGAGGACACGCGGTCCCACGTCAGGTGAATAGGGGGGTAGTGGACGGGGGCACAGGTGGTGGGAGTGTGGAGACGGTTGCGTCGTGCTGCCATTGGGCGAGGGGGCCAGGTCGCCGGCTGGTCAGCGCCGCCGGCGCTTTCCAGTCCAGGTGTCGGTGTACCCGGAGCTGCGCGTCTGGTCCTCTTCGCGCCCGTCACCCTTGGCGACCTCTCTCTTCCTCTGCACGTCCTGGTGCAGCTTCTTCTCCCGATCCCAGTCCACGTAGACGCCTGCGTTGCGGGGCCACGCCTCCACGTGATGGTTGCTGGCGCCCGTGTCTTCCAGGAGTGTGTCGATTATCCAATGCTGCCAGCGGCTCGGGTCGAAGGGGACCTGGTCTTTGGATGTGCCTTTGCCTGGCCCTTTGCACATGTGCCTGCACCACGAATGCCAGGCTGCGTTGAAGTGGTGCCCCCCTTCCGCCTGCAGCCTCTCCAGATGTGCGACTGCTGTCTCGCGTGGGCGGCGCTGCCAGCCAACGCGGAAGATTGTCCGTGCCCGGCTAGTGTCGGGGTGGCGGCGATCATCCTTGTTGTAAGAGCTGCGTTATTCTGGCTGGCGCCAGCGGGTGCTCCCTGTGCCCCTGCCACTGTCATGGTCCTGGTCCCAGTGGCGCTCCCCGGTTCTGTCCCAGTCCTTGGCGTCGTGTTTGCGCACCGGTGCCCCCGCTGCGCCCTGGTTGCGGTCGCGGTCGCGGTCGCGGTCGCGCTCCCCTGCGCGGGTCCGGTCGCCAGCCTCTCTGGACTCGCGCCTCGCCGCCGTCGCGCGCGGCCCCCAGGCGACTGGCCCCCGCGCCCTGCTGCGCAAGCGCGCAAGCTGGTGCGCAGGGAGGGGGTTGAGTGCAGGTCGTGCGTCTTCCGGGCCTTTGGACCGGTTCCGCGCGCGCAGCTCCTGGTCGTCGGCCGCGGCCTCCAGACGCACGATCGGATCCATGGGTGCGTCGGCGGCCCTTTGGTCGGCACTGCTTGAATCGTGCTCAGGACTGCTGCGTCGCTCGTTACGAGGACTCGTCTTGGCTTGGTGCTCTTCGACTGTGTCGGAGTCTGTGGATGAGGAGACCGCGTGGACCGTGCTTAGGGCCTTTTGCGAGGCGCAGCTTCTTCTCTTGTTCCTGGTCGTCATTGGTCCAGTCGGGGTCCTCCTCCTTATGGGGCATAAGGGGTGCAGGCTCGACGGTGTGATCCTGCGCGTCTGCCTGCGGCGGGTAAGGTTTGGGCCCGGGTCCGGTCTGCGCCCCCCCTGGGGACGTCGCTTTGTCACCCCCGATGTCGGCGTCGAGCCTGGGGCTGTCGCAGTTTGCTGGTGCCTGCGCCCCGCGCACCTTGCCCCGGGCACTGTCCAGGAAGGCTGCTGCCTCGGGCGCTGCGTCTCCGCGGAGGACGTTCATGCGTAGCGCCTTGTTACCAGTGCCCCATGCTTCCAGCCACTCGCTGCCGATCTGGACGAACTGAGTCCGCCCGTCCTGTTCGCGGGCCAAGACACTGAGGACGGGTCCAAATGCCGCTCCGTCCAGGGGCTGCGTCGACAGGGGCTCGGCGCAGTCCGCAGTGCTGATCCACCTGGCGCAGGGGAGGGTGTCACTCCTGATGGCCACGTAGTCGCCGCACTGGATGCACGGGCTGTCCGTTGCGAGCGGGCACAACGAGCCCGTGATGGGCGTGTCCGGGACTCGCCGTGTCCGGGGCTCGCCCTTGTTGCCGCTCGCGGCTGCCGGGGTCCGTGCACTTTCCGGGAGGTTCAGGTGCCGCGCCGACGGCCGGTGGCGCCCCGACGGATTTGGTAGCTGTAGGTATTGTATCAGGCTGGGCCAGGGCCTGCTCGTCGCCACGCGGAGTGGGCGGGAGTGAATGGGGGGGGGAGTGAATCGCCACCTTGAGTGGGCGGGCAAGGTGTCGGGCAGGGTGTCAGGCGCCTTTCCTTGGCGGGTCTTGGTGACTCAGCTTGGCTGGAGGCGTGGTCGGGACGCTGGGCGGCGCGCTGCTGGGCCCCGCCGCTGGGCGCGCGCCCGGCGGGTGGCTGGGCGGAAGCAGTGGCGCCGGGGCCCCAGGCAAGGCGTTGATGCCTTCCCTTGGGCGGTGGCGGCAGTGCGGCGCGGAGGCGATCGTAGTAGATGCGCTCCGCCTCGTCCCAGGCGGCCGCGCGTCGCAGCACTTCCTCCTGGTCGGGGCGCGCTGCGTCTTCTGGCGATGAGGCGGGGGCGCCCGGTAGTGCGGAGAGAGGTCTGGCTCCTGCACTCGGGTATATGTCAGGGCCGTATCTGTCGAGTACCTGGTTCACTGCTGACGAGGCCATGTCCCACTGGTGGATCTGGCATTCCTTGCAGTGCCAGCCCGCATGCCAGCGCTTTGCCAGGAACATCTCCCTCATCAGTTGTATGGGTGGGAGCCCGTGGACCAGGTTGAAGCCGTCGCGGAGTCCTTCTGGGTCAGCGGCGTGCCCGTACATGCCAGGGTAAGCCTGCCCTGGTCCCCATCTGCGTCCCTCTGCACCAGGGGGGCAGCCATCGCATCGCCAGATGCCGACATTCTCCTTGTCGAAATGGGAGATCAGGCGATCAACGTTCGTGTTACTGGCTGGGAGGGTGGTTCCCACATTGAGGGGGTTCAGGTCGCCTTCCAGTCGGACCAGTAGCTGGTCCAGGGGCGTTAGGGCCGTGGGTGTCGACGTCGGACACAGCCCCGGAAGGGCGCACGTTGTTCGAACAGGCATGTCATCGGGGCGGTCGTTGATCCAGCTCTTGCAGTCCACGTCGTCTGGAATGGGCCGCCGCTCAGCCATTGTCTTCGTAGTCCAGCAGCATATGCAAAGCCAGGTCAGGTCCTTCCCTTGGTAGTACTGCGTCAGCCTGTTGACCGCGATGGTTTGGCGAATCCGCTTCCTGACGTAGGCGCCTTTGTCGTGCTTGAAGGGGCCGCGTAGGCACCCTTGGCAGTAGAAGTCAGCCTTGTTCTGCTCCTTCCTCCACCTGGTGTCTCGGTCGTTTAACCATTGGGACCTTAGCGTCACTCCAGGGAGTGGCCCGGGCGGGGCGGGCGCGTCCAGGTGCAAGCGCGTGTATGAGTATCCTTCACCTATCCAGGTGACGCCGCTTGCCTGCTTAGTCGGGTCGTCGGTGAGGCCGATGCCGGACCCGAGCGCGTCGATGCAGAGTGCACATACGGCGCACTCATGGAGCGCCAGGGCTGACAGGTCGGCGGTGTACACGGTGCCCTCGATGAACGCGAGGGTGGCCTGGAGTGGGATTTTTTAACAAGCGGACACGACTGCCAACCAACCACATCCACTGTAAACGCAGGCTTGGGCAACGATTGCGCCCAACATCCGGAAACCCGGGGAAACACGCGCGAACAAACCGTGCACTACCACGAACCCACACACGCTTGCAAAAGAGCACTGCCAGCAGCCACGCGGCAAGGTGAGTTGGAAATTAAGTGAGACAATGGCAACTATTGCAGTCTTGCCGCGCCCAGTGCTCGCTGAAGCCGTCAAGTCTGGACATGGGCCCTCACGGGCCGAGGGGGAGAGGAGGAGGACGCAAGAGGAGAGAGGACGCACGACGGGCAGGGACGAAAGGCGGAGGCAAGGAGGCGGGAGGGACGGACGACGAGCAGGACGACCGAGGAACGCGGAGGAAGCGGACTGCACAGGTAGGCTCGCCGCGATTGGCCAGCCACCACGTCTCCCGCGCAGCTGGACAGGACGGCATGGCACGATCCAATTTCCTGCGGCACCTCTGCCTCACAGCCGCCCGTGTGGCCTGCGGCCGCAGATACCACCTGGTGGAAGCACCTGTTTCACGCACCGGCCCCCACGGGCCGAGGAGGAGGAGGACGCGGGAGGAGAGACGACGCACGACGGGCGGGGACGAGAGGCGGAGGCAAAAACGGGGGAGGGACGGACGACGAGCAGGACGATCGAGGAACGCAGGGGAGGAGGCCAACAAACATTCCGAGGCAGACCAGGATCGGCGCTCCGAGGCATGGCAACTATTGCAGTCTTGCCGCGTCCAGTGCTCGCTGAAGCCGTCAAGCCTGGACATGGGCCCTCACGGGCCGAGGAGGACGCAGGAGGAGAGAGGACGCACGACGGGCAGGGACGAAAGGCGGAGGCAAGGAGGCGGGAGGGACGGACGACGAGCAGGACGACCGAGGAACGCGGAGGAAGCGGACTGCACAGATAGCCAAGACGGAGTGGCACGATCCAATTTCTTGCGGCATCTCTGACTCACAGCCGCCCGTGCGGCCTGCGGCCGGAAATACCACCTGGCGGAAACACCTGCTTCACGCGCCGGCCCCCACAGGCCGAGGAGGATGGGAGGAAGCCTACAAACATCCCGAGGCCGACCAGGATCGGCGCTCTTGCAGTCTTGCCGCGTCCGATGCACGCTGAAGCCGTCAAGCCTGGACAGTGGCCCCCGCAGGCCGACGAGGAGGAGGAGGAGGAGGAGGACGCAAAAGGAGAGAGGACGCACGACGGGCGGGGACGAAAGGCGGAGGAGGCAAGGAGGCGGGAGGGACGGACGACGAGCAGGACGACCGAGGAACGCGGAGGAGGCGGATTACGCAGATAGGCACGCCGCGATCGGCCAGCCACCACGTCTCTCGCGCAGCCGGCCAGGACAGCATGGCGTCACGATCCAATTTCTTGCGGCACCTATGACTCGCTGCCGCCCGTGTAGCCTGCGGCCGCAGATACCACTTGGTAGAAACGCCTGTTTCACGCACAGGCCCCCGCAGGTCGAGGAGGAAGAGGAGGAGGAGGAGGAGGAGGAGGAGGAGGAGGAGGAGGAGGAGGAGGAAAAGGTGAAAGGAAGGGGAAACACAGGGCTGAGGCATCAGAGCTCGTCGTCGTCCTCGTCCATGATCGGAACCTCGTGAGCAAGAGGATCTGGGGCGCCTCCCGGGAACCGGCCCTTGACCCGCCGTCGGCAGTCGCGGCGGGGCCCCCTGCTTGCCGTAGAGGCAGCCGAAGATGCAGAAGCAGACTTGCTGCCAGCCAGAGTCGGGCGCCACTACCGCTCCAGCGCGCGGCCCCGCGAGGGCCGAGGTGACCCGTTGTCCGTGGGACGTCCATCGAGCACCACCCGTGTCAGCCGCGAGATACAAGCACTTCGCACAACTATTCGGCCTGCCCCCTCGGCCTTCACCACGATGGACATCCCCAGCATGAAACTCTGGGCACCATCTGCGCTGAGGCCTTCTTGGGCGCCGCCATCTGGCGCGCGGCCTCTTCCACGATTTCTTGGCGCGCTGCTTGCGAGACGCTGAAGGAGGCCGCCGTCATCGCCCTCCCCATGGTCGACTACATGCAAGGCTTGCGGTCGCCTTTTTGCTGGTGCTCCTCGAAGTCGATTGCCGGGCATCTCCATGATGCAGCTGCTGGTTCGCCCTTCCACATGAGCAAGGGCTCCATCTTCGTGCACGCGAAGCAGCAGTTGCGCAATCCGGAGCGGGCGCGCCTCCAGCTCCTTCGGGCTTACCGTAGCGCGAGCGCAGCTGCTCGTGAAGCTCTTCGCCCCCGCCGTCGACGCCCCGGCGAGCACCCGAAGAAACCCCCGCTAGCCACGCCCCTCAACGAAATCCAGAAAGAACACTTACACTGACGACTTTGACCTCGCGATCGTCAAGCACCTGAAGGCCTGTTTCCAATACCTTCCCATGGCGCAGGATGGAGTTGACCCTGCTGCAGGTGAGGACCAACGACTCCTTCGCCCTAAAACGCTCTCATCGATCCTCTCGTGCACGACTCTACTCGCCGCCTCACCCGCCCCCGAGAACACTGAGACCGATCGTGCTGATGCTGATCGCGAGCTCCTGCTCCTCGCGGAGATGCCGGCGCGCTGGGCCTCGGACAGGCCCCCCGACCTCTACGTCGACAATTGAGGCGCAACGAAGAGAACGGTGCGAACCACATGTATTTCGTCATCTTCGCCGACAGGGACTCCGCATAGTAATAGCTGGTTGCTCAGAGGATGAAGTGCGTCGTCGCGCTCACAGCATCTGCCGCCGCGCATGGTGCGGCTCTGACCTGAACCGTCGCGCCCTCGCCCAGTTCATGGAGCGGACGCCGAGATCGAGCGAAGCCCAGGCCCTATTCGCCGTGGCTGTTTCTGAACACCGACAGCGGCGTCAATGGATTTTGCTGGCCGACGTAGTGAATGATCCTTCCGGCCCCTATGATGCGCACTTCAACGAGCAGCTGGACGCCGACGCTGCTTCGCACGGCGACCGGACCGCGCTCTACCAGCTGCCTCTCAGCGCCAAGACCTCGCGATAGGAGGCCAAGCCCTGCGTCGCGCGGCCCCCCCTCCCGCCGCTGGCCTGTCGTCGAGTCTCTGGCGGGGGGCTGGTCTACATCGCATCGACTTCATATTTGCTCTGATCGCCACTCCTGCATCTTCGGGCGCGCCCCAGAACGCGCTGCTGACGCCGTCGCCCACTACTGGGCGCGCCCGAAGCGCCGGCACATCTTGGCGCTCCCGCGCGGCGAGCTTGCCAACTGCATTCTTAAGGGGCTGGGACTTCACGCCGTGAACTTCGAAGTCTCCCCATCTGCGGACGACCGCGTCTGCCGCGCCCGCGCCCGCCTGGCCGTGGTCCATCGCATGTGCCACACCGTGAGGGAAACGAGCGTGCTGTGCCCCGCCAGCGACGGCTTCGGGGTCGGCTACGCGCGTCTGAATGAAGCCCGCGCCTCCGCGCGCCTGGCCTTCCGGCTCGGCGCCTCGCCGCAGGGAGGCCGAGGCGCGGGCCCGCCGCCTGCTGCTGCCCTACCTTCCTTTCCTACCGACCGACCGACGCCCCATTTCGCCTTCGCGCGCGCCTTTCTTCCTGCCGTCCGACCGCGCCCCCTCTTCTCCCCGAAACGCAAACTACGCCGCGAGCGCGCCGCCCGCGCCGCCCCGCGAGCCACCCGACGCAGCCGGCGCAGGTGAGGGCCGCTAGACGCCAGACTTGCCCCTCCCAGGGCTCGTTCGTTTTTTTCCCCGTGGCAAGTTCGGCTCGAGCCACGTTCGGTCACGGCTGCGATTCCCAGCAGGGTTCGAACGGACACCTCCGGTCCGAGGCCACGGCCAAAGTCACTGCTAGATTGCATGTCGCGCCGCCCAGAGGCCCCATCTTCCACTCCCCCCGTGGCCGCGGGCAAGCAGAGACATGCCCTGTGCCTGCGGTTATCGGTGGGCGCGCAATGCGCGGCCGGTGCTATCAATGCGCTTCCCGCAGCACTCGCGGGGGCCCCTCTGGCCGCGATTGACCGTCGAGCCATCGACGGAGAGATGGTAGGCGTAGTCGCCTGAGAGATCTGCGTCGCGAGGCATCCGCTGCGCGGTCAGGCAGTCTTCGAAGCGGCTCTGGTTCTCCAGCTCCCGACGCTCGCATTCTACCCCAGCGGCATCACGGTCAGCCAGCCATGGTCCTCCTTGTTCCTGCTGGGCATCGCGGCAACCAGGAGGGCGCGCTGCTGGATGCCAGATCCGGGGGGGGGGGGGGTCAGGGCCCCCCCCGCCTTCCCCGATCCGTCGCCCCGGGGCCCCCCAATTTGCCCGATCCGTGGCCCTGGGCCCCCCCCCTCCTTTCAAAACGGAGGGGGCCCTCCCCCCCGCTCCGCTTTGGATTCGAACATTGACCCCGCCGCCCCCCCCCCACGTGGCCGCGCCGCCCGCCAGCTCCAGAACCTTGCGCGCCTACCCCCACAGCCTTAAGAAATAAGAGCTTACAAATATTAAAGCCCTCGGCCCCCTTGAGCCGCCCCTTCGGCCGCCCGTTATATCCGCCCCCACTTCCCGCGCAGAAAAAAAAAAGTAAGGTTTTCTGCGGTGCGGACCGAATCCCTTGCAACAGGCGCGCTGTCCTGCGCACGCGGCCCGCGCCCCTTGCAAAAAGTGTTCCGCGGCGCACAGGGCCGCCCCCAACCCGTGCGATCCGTGATAAAGATACGACATCGTGTACGCCTGCGCGCGCATGCGCCCGCTGCGCTCCCGGGCGGTGCCCGGGCGCCTCCAAGGCGCCCCCCAAGCGCTTCCAGGCGCGGCCCAGGGGCTGCCACAGTGGCTCCAGGTTTCTCCAAGTGCTCCAGGCGCTCCAGAGCGCGCCCTTCAGCGTCGGCGAATGCTCGGAGGCGCCCCCGGGCGTCCCCCAGGCTTTCCCGAGCGACTCCCCGGCGCCCCCCAGGCGCTTCCAGGCGCAGCCCAGTCGCTGCCGCAGCGGCTCGGGGCCTCCCAGGCGCCCCAGGCGCTCCATAGCGCGCCCCCCGCGTCGGTGAACTCAGGCTTCTGGGGGGGGGGGGGCAGGGCCCGCGCCGCCGCCGCTTGGCGCGCGGCGCGCGGGTGCCCGTGCGCCCGCCCTGGGCAGATGTGCTCGCGATATATGTGCCACATGTTCGTTTAGAATATGTCCTTCGCGAAGAGCACGGACGCGACCTCGATCCTCGAGGCCATGGCCGCCTCGATGCGGGCGCGCAGCTCCGAGGAGGCGACCTGGAATCGGCGATGCGACGCCGATGCATCGGCGATGCTTCGTCTTGTTTGATTGGCAAGGGCGTCGCCGTCGTCGTCGACGCGCTGAGTTCTGCGCGCCATGGGTCATGCGTGGATGGGATACGTCCAATGGGCTTCGAGCGGGGCGAGTGGCCCGAACCCAAACACCCGAACCCGAACACCCTGACCCCAACGCCCGATGCCTGACCCCCTAGCCCGAACACCCGAACCGTAACACCCTTACCCTCTCACCGCAATCCTATCATCCTAACCCGAACTCTGCAGCCCCCCAAGCCCGACCCCCAACACCTGACCCGAAACACGCCGCGGAACCCTGACGCCCGAACCCGGCCGCCCTACCCCGAACCCCACCACCCTAAGCGCAACACGCTGGCCCGAACACCAATGCCCTAACATTCGAATCCAAATCCTAACGCCTTAACCGCAATACCTTGACCCGAGCACCTAACGCAAACCCCCATTACGCCGAATATCCTAACCCTGACACCCCAGACCAAACGCACCAAGCCTAACGCCCTAATCCTCACGCGCTGACCCTGACACCCTAAGCCTAACACCCGAATCCGAGTACCCAGACCCAAATCCCCAAGCTCTGGCCCCTGAGCCTTAAGCCCGGAGCTTTAAGCCCCAAGCCCTGGGCCTTGTGCCTGAAGCCCTAAGCCGTATGCCTTCAGCCCTTAGCCGCAACGAACGAATCCGAAGCTGTAAACCTTATGCCCCAAGGTCTGAGGCTTAAGCCCTTAGCCCGAAGCCCGAAGCCCTGAGTCGTAGTCTCGGCTGGGCGCGCGTACTTCCTGACTCAGCCGTGCCCGGCAAATTTGGCGACAGTTGGGCAGTTCGCAGCCCCGCAGGAAGCTGCGAGGTCTGGGCTGGTCGCGCGTACCCCCCATGCTCCGACGTGCATCCCAGGGCCACGCGAAAGTGGCGACGGTTGCGCAGTTCGCAGTCCCCCAGTGAGCGGCGAGGTGGGCGCGCGTATTCCCCCACTCCGCAGTGCCGCCCAGGAACCAACGAAAATGGCGACAGTTGCGCTGTTCGCAGCCATCCAGGGAGTTGCGAGGTCTTGGCTTGGCGCGCGCACTCCGCGAGCCTGCCGCGCCTTTCTGGATCCCACGAAGGTGCCAACAGTTGCGCAGTCCGCAGCGCCCCAGGGAGCTGCCTG